TCAACAGCTTCCTCATCATCTTCACCATAACATCATCGCCATCGTCATCGCCGTCGATATCGCAATCAGTAACATCGACATCATCATCTTAATCAGCATAATCGTCATCATCATAATCGTAATAATCATCATCATCGACCTCGCCATCACTTGCATCGTTTCCATCATCATCATCATCATCACCACCACCATCATCATCACCAAAATCGTAATCAGCAGCATCGTCATCATCATCATGATCCGAATCAGCATCTTACCCAAATACCATCGTCATCAACGCCATCATGATCGTCATCATCATCGACATCGTCAACATCGACATAATCGACATCGCGATCAGTTAGGTCATCATCGGCATCGTCATCGTCAGCATCATCAGCACCATAATCATCGCCAGCCAAAAGAAGAATCACATCATCATGATCATCATCAGCATCATCCGCATCGACATCGTCACCATCGTCAATAACATCGTTAGTGCACTAAGCATCGTCATTATGATATATATATATATATAAATATATATATATATATATAATAATAATCATCCGGATCAAGATCGTGATGATCGACAGCATGATCATCATCCTCATCATCATCATCATCATCACCATGATCATCATCATCCGCGCCATGGCGAGATCACCAGCTGCATCTGCATCATTCTCATCATCATCATCATCATCATCATCGTCACCATCGTCATCATCAGCAGCATCACCATCATGACTCCCAACCCCGCCACTATAACCAGCATCATTATCATCATCATGAACATCATCATCATCATCATCATCATCATTGCCATCATATTTACCAGGTCCCTCATCACCCACATCAGCACCATCATGATGACCACCACCATCACCACCATTATCATCGTCGTCATCATCACCAGCATCAAGATCATCATCATCACCACGATCGGCGTCATCGGAGTCATCATCCGAAGCGGCATCAGTATCAACATCAGCATCAGCATCATTTGCAGCATCACCATCACCATCATGATCACCACCGTCGCCACTATCAGCATCATCACCATTATCAGCATCAACAGCAGCATCATCATTGTCATCATCATCGTCATCATCAGTGACACCATCATTAACACCACCACCATCACCATCATTACCAACACCTTTACCATAACATCACCACCATCGCCATTACCGTCAGCATCGCAATCAGCACCAGCGTCATCATCATCGTAACCAGCATGATCGTCATCATCAAAATCGTAACCATCATCATCGAGCTAGTCATCATGTTCATCACGCCCATCATCATCATCATCATCATCATCATCATCATCATCATGATCATCATCATCATCACCATCATCATCATCATCATCATCGTCATCTCCATCACCACCATCATCAACACAATCGGAATGAGCGTCATCGTCTTCATCGGCATCACGATCATGATCAGCATCATGTCCATTAGCACCGTCATCAACGTCATCATCATCGTCATCGTCATCGGCATCATCAGCGTCGTCATCATCAACATCAACATCATCGTCATCGTCACCAGTTCATCATCGGCATCATCATCATCATCATCGTCAGCATCAGCAGCACCCTAATCATCGCCGACAGCAACAACAGCATCAGCATCGCCATCATCATCATCATCAGCAGCAGCAGCATCGTCATCATCGTAATCAGCAGCAGCATCATCATCATCATCATCATCGTCATCAGCATCAGCATTATCGGCGTCATTATGATCAGCATCGTCATGATCGACAGCATTATCATCATCACCACCATGATCATCATCATCATCAGCGCCATCGGCGTCATCATCAGCAGCGACATCATCATCATCCTCATCATGATCATCGCCACCATCATCGTCATTCTCAGAATCATCACCATCATCACCAGCATCCTCATCATTGTCATCATGTTCATCACCTCCCTCATCACCGTCATCATCGCCATCATCATCGTCAGAATGGTCACCATCAGCACCGCCCTTGTCATCAATGGAAACATCACTGTTACCATCACCCGTAGAAGCGATCATCATCATCAGGATCATCAGCATCATCAGCATCATCAGCATCAGCATCATCACCACTGTCATCGACATCCTCATCGTCATCGCCAGCATCATCACCATCGAATGTATCCAGATTGCCATCGTCAACATCAGCACCATCATCGGCATCGTCAGCGTCATCCTCATCATCAGATTCCCAGTCACTCTGCAGTACCATCATGAAAAGCATCATCATCTTCAGCACAACGGTCATCATCATAATCGTAATCAGCATTACCATGATTATCATCATCCACAGTGCCATCATCATCAGCATCATCACCATCATCATAATCGTCATCGACAACACCATTATCACCATCCACGACGGCATCGTCATCGTCATCATCGCCATCATTAGCATCGTTACTATTGCCACCGCCATCAACATCGTCGTCAGCATCATCATCGTCATAAGCAGAATCATCAGCATCAGAATCATCATCGTCGCCGTCATCATCGTCCTCATCATCACCAACATCATCGACATTATCAACATCAACATGATCGCTGTAGCCATCAGTTAACCATCGTCATCACCATCGCCAGCATTTACAGCACCATAGTCATCGTCAACAACAACACCTTCATCATCGTCATCATCATCCGCATCATCATTATAATCATCATCATCATCGTCGACATCCTCAGCATCAGCAGCCCAATAACCGTCGTCAACAGCAACAATAGCATCATCGTAATCATCGTCAGCATCATCCGCATTGTCATCGTCAGCATCGTCATCAGCATCAGCATCGGCATCAGCATCAGCATGATCGTCGCCATCACCATCATCAACATCATCATGTTCGACAGCATGATCATCATCATCGTCATGATCATCATCACCGGCACCATCGGCGCCATCATCAGCAGCAGACCGTCATCATCACCATCATCATCAGCAGCATTATCATGATTATCATCCTCGCAACTACCACCATCATCATCATCATCATCATCATCATCATCATGATCATCATCATCATCATCATCATCATCATTGTCCTCATGCTTATCATCTCCATCATCGCCGTCATCATTGCCATCATCAACGTCAGCATCGTCACCATCCTCATCGGCATCGTCATGATCTTCGCCATCATGAGCATCACCCTCGTCATCAACGGAAGTGTCACTGTAACCATTATCCGTAGAAGCGATTATGAGCATCAGCATCATCAACATCAGCATCATCACCACTGTCATCGACATCCTCATCTTCATCGTCACCATCGTCACCCTTGAATGCATCTGCATTGTCATCATAACCAGCATCATCATCCTAACCATCATCATCGTCATCATCGTCATCGGCATCCTAATCATCATCATCCGCATCATCATCGTCACCACAGACATCCTGCAGTATCATCCTGAACAGCATCATCATCAGCACCATCGTTACCATCATCATCATCATCATCACAATCATCACCATCATCGTATCATCATCACCCACTGTCTCATCATCATCATCATCATCAGAATCAGCACCATTATTATCGTCGTCATCATCGACGACTTCATCGTCACCATTATCATCATCACCGTTGTCGTCGTCGTCGTCATCGCCATCATCAGCAGCGTCATCATTGCCATCGTCAAGAGCACCATCGTCGGCATAACCATCGTCATAATCAGCATCATCAGCATCGTCGTCGTCGTCATCATCATCATCATCATCATCATCTTCCTCATCATCAAATATCATCATCAGCAGCAGCATCCTCACCATAGTCCCCGACCCCCGTTTCATCCTCCCCCGTGCTCCGCCTGCCAACCCCGCCCTCGCGGAGGCGCCCTAGAGCATCATCGTCATAAGCAGTACCATCGTCATCGCTAACATCGTCATCGTCCTCGTGGTTGACATCTCCATCATCGTGAACAGCATCGCCATCAGCATCCGCATCATTATCACATTCATCGCCATCATCAGCGCCATCACCATCGTCGTCAACAGCTTCGTTCTTATATCGTTGTCGTCAGCATCATTATCATCAGAGTCAACTTCATCGTCATCGTCATCTTCAGCTTCATCTTCATCGACATAACCAGCGACGTCATCATCCTCACCATCATCATCGTTGTCGTCATCGCCTACCATCATTATGATCAGCAGCATTATCACCATCATCGGCATCATCGTCATCGCTAGCGCCATCATCATCCGCAACACGGTCATCATCATCATCATCATCAGCAGCAGCATCATCAACATCATCATCAGAAGCGTCATCATCATCATCATCGTCGCCATCGATGCCATCATCATAACCATCAGCAGCATCATCATCATTGTCATCAGACTCGGCATCATCATCATCATCATCAGCATCAGCATCATCATCATCAACATCATCATCATCATTAGCATCACCAACATCATCATTATACCATCATCATCAACATCGGCATCATCATCAGAAGCATCATCATCATCGTCAGCATCATCACCGTTATCATCATCAGCAGCAGCATCATCAACGTCGAGGTCGTCACCATGATCACCATCATCATCATCATCATCATCATCATCATCATGATCATCATCATCATCATCATCATCATCGTCATCACTATCTTAATCATCGTCCTAATCATCATCATCATCATCATCATCATCATCATCATCATCATCATCATTTTCATCATCATCATCATCAGGAGCATCGTTTTCATTATCATCATCATCATCATCATCATCAGAAGCATCATCATCATCATAATCATCATCAGCATCATCCTCATCATCATCATCACCATCATCAGCACAAGCATCATCATCATCATCATCATCATCATCATCATCATCATCATCATCATCATCTTGATCGTTATCATCATCAGCGACATCATCATCATCGTCCCCACCCTCCACCCTTTCCTTCCTCCGCCTCCGCCTGCCAACCCTCCCTCGCAGAGACACCCTCGAGAGCGCCAGCCTCGCCGTCGCTGCCGCCGTAGTTCTCGTCCCAGAAGAAGACGAAAACCTGAAGAGCGCCCCTCACTTCTCATTCTCGGGGCCGCCGAGCGCACCAGCGACGACGACGACGACGACGACGACGACGACGACGACGACGACGACGACGATCGTGGTGGCGACCACGTGCTGCGCCAGCCCAGGCGAGCGCGCGCAACAGCGGCAACGGGAGAGCGAAGCCCTCGCCGCGGGCCCGCGGGACCACGCGCGCCGAGAGCAGACACAGGGGGAGGAGGGGCCCCCGTGGCCTACCGAACGGGGCAGAGCCCAGCCTTACGAGGATGGCATTCCCTAAACTGCTGTGCTGACTGGGGCGCCTTTGTCAAAAACGACGAAGACGACGACGACGACGATGACGACGACGACGACGACGACGACGACGACGAAGAGCAGGAGGAGAAAGAGGAGGAGGCCAGCGTACGGAGGAGGAGGAGGAGGAAAGAGGAGGAAGGAGGAGGGGGAGGAGGAGGAGGAGGAGGAGGAGGGAGGAGGAGGAGGTAGAGGGCTGGAGGAGGACGAGGAGCAGAAGAAGTGGAGGATGAGGGCTGGAGGAGGAGGAGGAGGGGGGGAAGAGGAGCAGGAGGAGGAGGAGGAGGACGACGACAACGACGACACGACGAGGATGTCTTTCCCTCAACACCTGTGCTGACTGGGCCACTATACTCCCCCCCAAGAGAAGCGCGGCCCCGCGCCGTGCGGGCCCCACGGCGCCGCGCTCGGCCGCCAGCTCCGGGGGAGGACGCTGCGGAAGGGCGGGGACGACGGGACGACCGGCGCGCTGCCTGACAGACGGCGCCCGCGTCCGCTTTTCGGGGGGACGTATCGGGTGCGGCCTAACCGACCCTTGGCAAACCATCCCCTTCCATGACGTCATTCCCGCCCTTCGAACTCCCCTCCAACCGCACGCATGCGTCTTGGAGGGTGGCGAGGGGCACGTCACGGAAGGAGGTGGTTTGCCAGGGCTCGGTTCGGCCGCCCGTGAACGCAAGACTCAGGTACGAAGGACTCGAATTGGCCTGACGGGGCCATCATGAAAATGACGAGACCCAATCTGAAATTTGACGCGACCTCCCGCTGCAAACATCCCACGAAAACCGGACCGTCAAAGTCCAGGGCATCGACATGCGTACTTTGGAACCTCTAACAGGACGGAGATCGTCGCGTCTCGCCGCGGATCAAGACCAGGAAGGCACCGGGCCGACGCCATATTCAACTTCCCGTTCCAGCGCCCGCTTTCCGACGTTGCTGACAAGTTCCGCCAGGCCGGGGGCCCATTCACCAGTAAACCCCGACGGCATGGCCCACTGCGTATCAGACGGCGACGTTCCCGAGCCGGTCGTCGACATTAGCTACGTAGACGACGCCATGTTCCAACCATCTCCCTCCTCCACAGGCCAAGCGACAGACGTCTCCGGCGCGATCGCGGATGCCGTTCACGAGGGGGCGCTCTACCATGGGCACGCGGGGATAGTACCTGGAGGGGTGGGTCTAGGCAGCTCCAGAAGGCACTTGAAACCGATCGGCCCATGGTCACGATCCCCCCTAAGGGGGGCGCGCGCGTCAACATTGCCGCGACCTACACTTACCTCGGCACTGGACTGGACTCAGAGACTGGGAAGAACACTAGTCTGACGGCCCTCGGTGACAAGCAGCGGGTTGCCCTTTCACCGCTCTGGAGGACGCGCAACAGGCTGGGGCATCTATCTCCACTATCAACGTTCGTTGTTGCCGACGTGTTCGCAAACGCGCATTTTGTTTGTGTGCGAAACAAGGCCGAAGCTAACCATGTCTCAACTTGCCACTCTAAGCCGCATGAGGCGCGAGCACGACGCTCCTAGGAGGTAGCAGATCGAGGAAGAGGAGGAGGACGACGACGAGGAGGAGGAGGAGGAGGAGGTGGGGGAGGAGGAGGAAGAGGAGGAGGAGGAGGAGGAGGAGGAGGAGGAGGAGGAGGAGGAGGAAGAGGGGAGGAGGAGGGGGAGGAGGAGGAGGAGGAGGAGGAGGATCGACGACGACGACGACGACGACGACCGACGACCGACGACGACGACGACGACGAAGACGACGACGACGACGACGTCGGCTGCGGCGGCGGCGGCGGCGACGGCGACCGATGACGACGACGACGACGACGACGACGACGACGACGACGACGACGACGACGACGACGACGACGACGGCGAAGGGGAGGAAGCGGAGGAGGGCGGCGCGGCCGCGCGGAGGCTGGTTTCGCCGCGCCGACGGCGCCACTCTCCACCGAGCGTCGCTGGTCCACCGCCCCTGCAGCTGATGATCCGTGCTTCCCGCCTCCCCTTCCCATTGGATGCGCCTCCCCTTCCATATGGTGGCGCGGAGCACAGCGGATGCATCCTCATGAGGGAGGAGGGAGGGGGGGTGAAGGAAGGGAGACGAAAGAAGGAGGGATCATGGAGGAAGGAACGACGAAGGAGGGAAGGAGGTAGGAAGGAGGAAGGAGAGAGAGGGAGGGAAAGTGATACGTATAATGGTGATATGTGAAACATGGTGTGAAATAGTGCGAAACAACGTGAAGTGAAAGTATGTGAAACCAGCGGGCAGCACCTCTCGGGAAGAACTTGTCCTAGCAACGTCTCGTAGAAAGTGGCGCCGCCGTGGACGCTCTTGGCGATCCTGGCCATTAAACGATTTTCTCGTTCGTCGGCATAGCACCAACACCGCCTTGGCTTTCCGTGTTTGCCGACGTTTTGCACAAGATGAACGGCCACGTGGTGTTTGAACACCGCGTGGCCGCCATAGGCCTGCCAATACGCGAGGAACCTGTGATCCGTTGCCGACTCCTGCCGCGTAGAGCGGGGTCGATAGCTTCTCCTCCGCGGGCCTTCGCCTTCTGGGCCATGTCAGCCAGGTGCATGGCAAAGCGTCATCCCCAGAGGTTGGCCCATGCGCCGGCATTGACAACGACGCCTATCCGGCCGCCCTGGAGGTCGGGGCTTGCCGGGCCAGGCAGCACGGAGAGAGAGAGTCGGTTGACGAACTCGCGCCCGCACCTAACGACGCAGGCTACCTCTGGAGCGCAGGCAGGCACGGCGGCGCGCGCAGGTCCGGGCGGGCGAAGGGCACCGCCACATCAGCAGCGGACTCGAAGCAGGACACGCTGCCCGGCGATCGCTCCAGGCCACGCCGCGGCGCCTCGGGCGCCGGCGCGGGCCGAGCAGACTGCGCGAGGCACCGCCGCCGTGGAGTCTCCTCGGGCACGTCGTCGCCCAATGCCGAGCGGGCAAGCACCGCGGGCACGGGGCCCGTCAGATCAGGGTCGGTCTGCCGCGACGACGTAGTCATCGGACCAGCAGTAACACGATCTGCATCAGCGCATCGGAAGTCGGCGATAACGCTGGCTGGGCCTCGGACAGCTGGAACATGCACTATGCGGGCGCCCGTGTTCTGCACGAGCTGCTGCCTAGTGCAAGCCGCGGCAGCGTCGCGGGCGCGCTACCCTGTCGCCATGCACGAAGGACTCGAAACAAATAAAACACCCCTGGTCGTCGCCGTCAAACACAGCAATGGTAGGGGCGCGGCAGGCGCGCCATGAAGGACAGGACAAGGAATTGCAAAGGCTTCTATCCATCTCCGCGCAGCATGGCGTCGCTGCTCGTTCTGTTGTCGCAAGAGCTCTAGTCACTAGAGCTCTTGCGCTGCTCAGCTCGTCGAAGCGCCGCCGTTGCGCGCGGTCGAGAGCGGCGCCCACGCCGCGGTCGGACGGGCCGCCGCTAGACACCCAGGCCTCGCGGCCGGCGAACCGCATGGCCACGCCCCCAAATGGCTGGCTTGCGTCGACGGGGGCGCCCTGGTCACATAGGGCCAAATCATTGGGAGAGTCCGGCACTGGCGGCGACACTGCTGCCGGCGCGAACTGCGGGGAACACGTGGAACTTGATCTACGAGGCGCGCTGACGCCGAGGGCTGAGACCGATAGCACGCAAGCCCAGCTCGGCGACTGCACGTCGGCAGGCGGGGCCGTCGGCACTGCGACTCGCGCGCTGCTGTCGCCCGCCCAATCGCGCACATGAGCTTGCCCCAATGGGAAGGCGCCAGACATTCCGGCCCGGCGCGGCGGCGTCGGCGGCGGCGATGCCGCTGATGCCGCTGGAGCCGCGGGCGCCGCAAGCGCGGCTGGCGTCGCGCCCGCCACCCCCGCCACGCGGGCCTGCCATTGCCGGGCCCGCGGGTTGAGCATGGGCTCATAAGCTCAGGCATTTCTCGACGTAGTCGCCGCAGCCATGCCTCGCGCGGGCTAGGGGGGCGCAGAGGATGAAAACCCCACCCAGCTCGACCAATGGCCGCGGCGCGCTGCTTGCCACGAGCCGCCGGACAAAACACGCGGCGCTGCTGCTGCAGCTGGCCGCCGCGCCGCCGCCGCCGGCGTCGGTCGCCCGCCGCCCCAGGGGCCAGCGCTCTCTAAATATGATCACCATCGCCGAGGCCCCCAACCAGAAATTGAAGAGCCCCCGAGGTGCCTCTGGCCATCCAGACCGCGCGCGCGCCCGGCACGGGCTGCTGAGCGGCTGGCCCATACGCCCCCCGATGCCTCAGGTGCGCAAGCGGCGAGGCCGTCGTCTGCAGCGGCGGCGCTGCCGAGGCCGGGGCGCCGAGGAAGAGAGCGCGCCCTGCCTGGCCGGAGGCGCACCTCGGAGTCGCACTCGCGGCATTTCAGAGCCCAGCGAGTTGCCTTGGCGGCCGACGCCCGTGCCACTGGCCCTGGACTTCCCCTTCCCTCGACCCTCGCCCCCCCCGAAGCCAACGAAAGCTTCCCGGCGGTCGTTCTCGGACACGTCGGCCAGGAAGGCCGCGTTGAATTTGGCTCGGGCCTTGCCTCTGCGCGCGACAACCCCCCGCGCACGGCGCGCGGGCTCGCGACTGGCGAAGCTGCTCCAGGGGGCGCTCGCAGGCCCCAAAAAAGCACGCACCGCGACATCCCATCGGAAAGCAATCTCTTCGCCGAGCGAGCTGGCGGCGTCGGCGTCGGCTCCTGAATCGACACCCACTGCTGGGCACGTCACCTGCGCCGGTGGCGCCGTGCCAGGTTCGGCAGCGGCCGCAGCTGCAGGCGGGCTCGGCGCTGATCCCAAGGCGCCGGGCCCCGTGCCATCGCAGCTCGATCCGGCCGCAATGCCATTGGCACTCTGAGTCTAATCTTGCGCGGGCGCACCCGCGAGGAAGGTCCGGCGTTGGGTCGAGCGAACGGCCGATGCGAGATTGCCTGGCGAACCCTCGATCATGCGCCCAATCCGTCGCAGCTGGCTAGTCATGCGCGCCGGCTGCCTAGCGCCCGAGGGGGCAGGCCACTTGGGGGCGCCGCGTGATCACGGTGAGTTGGCGGAAGTTCGACACGCCCACCACGCGCGGCAAGAGGAAGCTGAGGCCCCCGTAGCCCATCGCGAATTGGCCGGCCTGCTGCGCCCCGTCGCGGAGAAGGTCGAACCTGGCGAGGAGGTTGTCGATGCGATCCTGCGGCAACAGGTTGAAGTTCGTCAGGGCCGACACCGCCTGCGCGCGACCCCCCTCTCCCAGCTGGCCCCACCACTCGGCCAGACTATGCGTCGGGAAAGTCCTGGGCGGCACTTGGTCGCCGTTGGTGCGACCCCACTGGACTGGCACACCGGGCGGCCAATCGCCCACGCACTCGCGCGCCATGCCGGCATGGCGAAACGAGACGTTGGCCGCCTGGCGGAACTCGTGGAGGTCGGAGTTCGCCACTGACCAGATCATGCCCTCCCGCGCCCAGCGCTGGAAAGGCACGCGAGTTTCCTGCTCGGGCCCCCAGGCGCGGGCGCGACACATCTTGCCGCCAAAACCGCCGCCAGCATCCACGCAAACGATGCAGCTGGCGGCAACGCTAATGCCCACTCTGATTGCCTTCGATCTGGAGTGGAGCCCCCATCCATGCATCGAGGAGGCGCTGGAGTCCTGGAACCCACCAACGGAGATGCTTAAATTAGGACCTCGGCGTCGTTGCGGGCATATATCCCAGGCAACTCTTCCTCGTCAGCGCACTGGTCATGATATACGTCGCACAGTTGTGGCGCGATCGGAACTCGGAGCGTCCCACAAAATAGTCATGGGAACACTCTTCGCGTGTCGCGTCGTCATTGTACTGGGCACCACCAACTGCACGATAGTCAAAAAGAATCTGCATAATCCAGGTCTGCCAAGTAGCAGGGAGTGCGTGAATAACGAGGCAAGTCGTGTTCACGGGGATCGAAGACGTATAGTCCCAGACTCGTTGCGTGGTCCCCTGGAGAGTTGACAAAATGGTCATCGGACCTCCCATTATATGTTCGCTCTGTCTTGCCTGTGACTCCCCCTGGCGCTGCAACATTGGCACAGTGAGCTCCGGACGCTTCGCCAGCACCATTGATGCGAACATCGGACCAATCGATTGTCTGACACCCTCGGCTACACCCACAAACGGACGCAATGGAGGCGTTGTGTCCGTCGCCTCTCTCTCAAGGCTCCTGCAACATAGTCACTGGGAGCTCGGGAAACAGGGAACTCGAGACCCTTCGCCAACACCATAGACGTGAACGTTGTGTCCAGCAACTGTCTGACGTCGGAGGTCCCACTCACAAGCGAATGCATTGATAACGCTAAGCCCACGAGCTGCTCAGACATAATTCGAGCCAGCCTGGGATAGGGTACCGGAGGGGGAGACCACAGAGGCGCGGTCCGTGGTGTCGAAGTACTTGTAATCGTAAATGTGTGACCCCCCCCGCGATCGCACCTGACGGCTGGGCGGGTCCTGCCGCGATGAACGGGTAAAAGATCGCGAACAAGGAAAACACGATCCAACACGATGTCGGCGCGGAATGTGGAACACGGGGTCCTTGATGTAGTTTCCTTCAAATAGCTGCGTCACACGGCGGAGAGATGGAGCCTTCGCCTTCGAGGCAGGGCGGCGCGAGGAGGCCGTTGCGGCGCGTGGACGGGAGCCGAAGCTCCGCGACCAACCAGAAGTAAAAGAACAGGATGGAAAGCACTGGGTCACGGTGCAAGGAATCATGCAAGGGTACGAATAATAGCACGAGAAGGCGGGCACGGGAGCACGTCAGCCTCCGTACCCCCGAGCCAAAGGGCGGCGGAAAAAGGAGACGATTAAGAGGGCAAGCGTGTACAAAATAATTACCGTTCGAGTCAGAGCAGGAGGAGGAGGAGGAGATCTAGGGCTGAGGACCACAGGGAGCGGATCGAAAAGCGGCAAAGGTGAAACATCTGCACCGATAGGGCGCAGCGCCGGAAAAAGACAACCGCCTGCTGCTGCTGTCACATGCGAGTCCGCCGGCCCCCCGGGTGCGCAAGGCTGTGAAGGATTGTGCTGGACTGCTTAATTGTGCTGTTTGTGCTGTCTTCTGTTACAGTCGCCTGCCTCTCCATCGATGTCTCCGTTCTCCCGTCGTCCATGGGAGGCCCGCGGCCCCCCAAGAGAAGGACCTGAGATGAGCCAGGGCCCTTCCCTGGCGCCGACCCGAGAAATCCGCGCGGAAATTCGAAAAGTACGTGCTTGCGTCATGCCTGCTGCCCACGAGCTCGAGTACCGACCTGGAGTCAGTGATACTGGAGTCAGCGATACTTCGTCGACAGATCGGCGACAGGCTCCCTACTGCCGACTTCGCCTGCAGTAGGGAGCCTCCTGGTCGCTCGAGGTTGCTCCAGGGTTCTCACGGGGACGCCTCCGGCTGGGCAATTGAGCCCAACAGGCCCCGGAGGCAGCCCCAAGGAGGCCCTGGAGAAGGCCTCAAAAGAACCCAAGACGACCGAGTATCGCCCCATGTTGCCTGCACGATGGGTCAGGAGGGCGCCTAGACCATCCCTGGGAAGTAAACAAGCAAACAAATCAAAAACGGTGTGCCTGCATCGCGTCCTGCTCCTAGGCTTTCGGCTGCTCCACGATCGTTTCAAGATGGCCCCCAGAAGCCCTGACACTGCCCAAGACTGCCCCAGCGTGGCCCCGAAACGCCATAGGGGCCCACTGAAGCCCGCTGCCCCTACGAGGCCCCAAGGTCATCCCAAAGTTGCAAAAGATGCCCAAAGAAAAACAAACGCGAAGAGACCCCAGGATAACCGACTAGGTCTTTAGAGCACCCACCCAAAAAGGTTGTAACGAATTATCTCTTCGGCGACCTCGCTTCTCCGCGGCACCCGCCGCACAACGACGACGACGACGACGACGACGACGACGACGACGACGACGACGACGACGACGAAGACGAGAGGAGCAGGGGGGAGCCAAAACAAAAGACCTGCTGCAGTGAACGCCCGAAAGCACGCTCCGAAGCTGCCGCCACGCCGCGTAGCCCCAGGAGGGCGCCTGCTGGAAGCGTGTGGGGCGCGGCGGACGGCGGCGGCCGACTGGCGGACTCCCTGCTGGATCTCCTAGAGCGCCGACTTTTTCTGAGTCTGCAGAGGCCGCCTGTCTGTGAGGGGCGACGAGATCCACACACGCATCCCCACGCTGCCTCAACGACGAAGTCGGCGCCTGCGGTGAGCTCGTTGCACAGCGAGGGCATTGGCTAAGGAACCAGTGGAGAAAGAAGCCAGAGCCTGGAAGCCGATCGAAGTCCCACTGTGAGCTGGCCACGGATCTCACCGCCGCCTCCACCAGATCAGGAAGCCTTCAGGGTCTGAAGCCTCCTGGGCACATTCCTGAACCAACGCCCCCACCGTACAGCCTGCAGAAATGAGGCGCCCGCGGCGGGCTTGGCGAGCTTCTGCAGAGCCTCGCAGACTGCCGACGTCCCCGCCGCCCCATCTTCACTCTTCTCCGCGACCGCGGGGTGCTACGCATCCACTGCTCCCCGGCCAGGCCCAGCTGTACGGTTTCCCCTGGGGCCGTAGGCGACCCAGGGAGGAGGAGGAGGGGGAGGAGGAGGAGGAGGAGGAGGAGGAGGAGGAGGAGGAGGAGGAGGAGGAGGGAGAGAGGAGGAGGAGGAGGAGGGAGGAGAGGGGAGGAGGAGGAGGAGGAGGGGGAGGAGGAGGAGGGGGAGGAGGAGGGAGGAGGTGGAGGAGGGGAAAGAGGAGGGAGGAGTAGGAGGAAGTGGAGGAGGAGGAGGAGGAGGTGGAGGAGGGGAAGGAGGAGGGGAGGGAGGAGGGGAGGAGGAGGAAAAAAAAAAAAAAACGGGTCGCCTAAGCCCTTCGGAGAAATCCTCCAGGCCCAGCCTGAACCCAGCAGCGGTGTATGCGCAAGGCCCTCCTGGCATGGCCGGAAGGGCGTACGCACAGCTCCCTGGGCTCGGGCTGGGCCTGGCCAGGCAGCAGTGGATACACAGCAGGGGTTCGACCACAAGAAACCTTCCACAAGAAACCCAACCCTGAGACCCCAGGGCGTCCACTGAGTTTTGGTGTCTGCACGACACGCTCTCCGTCGCAAAACCACCGAAGCCCAAGAAACCCAGGGCACCCTGGAGGCAAGCAGGGTGTTCCTTGGCATGGGTCTCCACGGCATGTATAGATCTCGTCGCCCGATCGTTGAACACTGCGGGAGCTGCAAAGAAGCGCGGCGCGGCGCCGCGGCCCCGCACCGCGGCGCCCGCCCCGCTGTGCACGAAGCAAGCCGCGCCCTGGGGCACATGCGACGGCGAAGGCGTCGATGTGTCTTTTGGTGGGGCGGGGGCGCGCCGACCTGCGTCCGCAGGGACGGGCTGGCCGAGGCCCCTGAACGGGGGCTAGTGATGGAGGAGGAGACGGAGGAGGTGGAGGACTAGGAGGAGGACTAGGAGGAGGACTAGGAGGAGGAGGACGAGGAGGAGGAGGAGGAGGAGAACGAGGAGGAGGAGGAGGAGGAGAAGAGGAGCGCAAGTCCCCTTGGCGGACCATGCATGCGTGCATTCACTGGGTAAGCGTATTGATACTATGGTCCTCCAGACCTGTGGGAGAATGTGGAAGAAGGAATAGCGAAAATCTTCGGTCCTCCAGACCAGTGGGAAAATGGGAGAATGTGGAAGAAGGAATAGCGAATTTGTTTCATGACTCGAGGGGGGCTGGGGTCCGTACTTCCCCCCGGGAACGCCACCCCGCCAGGGACCTGCCAAGGAACCGACGCAAGTGGCGGCCATTGTGCGCTTAGCAGCACCCAGTGGGGGGCGAGGTCCGGCGCGTTTTCGGCGTCCCGAAGAAAGCGTCACTCCCCGCCGGACCCCGCAGGCGCTCCACGAGGACTGGCGGCAGACGCACGCCCTGGCAGCATCCAGGGACGGCGAGGTCTCGTCTGAGTACACCCCTGCTGATAGTTGAGAACATGATACGCTAAGACAACGGGTTTCACTCCAAGCGTTGTCCTAAATCGTAGTCGAGGTCCAGATATACGAAAGGTCTACAAAACACGCTCCAAGAAAAGGCCCAGGGTCCAGTCCAGATTCTCAAACGAAACCTGGACTCCATGGAAGTTGCTGCGTGTTCTCAAGCTTTCTGACGGGTGTATATCGCTGCGCCGTTTGCTCTCGACGCGCCCAAGTGGACGACGCCGACACCACGGCAAACCCACGGCAAACCCACTGCAAACGCACTGCAAACCCACTGCAAACCTTGCGCCCTGCGCCCCAAACAGACGACGCCGGCACCGCGCTGGACATCCTAGGAGCTCACGAAAGTAGCGACCTGCGCGCTCCGCAGCGCGCCAGCACCGCACTGGACATCGCAGGAGCTCAGGAAAATGGCGACCTCAGCTGCCCCGATACGCAGCACGCAACACGTAGCGTATTGATACGGAGCTCAACACGCAGACTGAAAACGTAGGTCTTACGCGATGCGTTCGCCAAAACGTGGGCCAATACGTTGAGCCAACACGCAGTGTGTTAAAACTGACGTTCTGAACACGGCACGTGTTGCGTTTCAAACTGGGCGTATCAGGGCAGCTGACGTGGCAACGTGCGTGCTCCGCAGCGCCCAAGAGAAGAACGGCGCCTCGCTGAGGTCGCAAGAAGACGTCGCTCCGCTGCGCCCCCGGGGAAAGCTCAGGAAGTGTGCCGACAGCTGCATGCATAGCGTCGAGTGAGGCCGAGGTCTCGCCTGACAGGGCCCGAGCTATACAGTGTTGTTTGTTTTCGTTGTGTTTTCGTTTTCCTTCGTTCTGCCGTCGTTATGTTTTTGCTGCGAAACTACATCAAAACGACAACGGCCCGCGAAATCGCCGAAACAGCGTCAGCTCGAGCCCTGTCGCCTGGATCCCCGCCCAGCGTCGCTCCGCTGGACGTGGATAGATGCTTTCTCATCTGCGGTCACACCGCAGCTCAAATGTTTCACTGTTTCAACGCTTAAAATGTTTAATCATCTGGAAGTGCATAGACGTTTGAGTGCTAATCATCGCTGGACGTCTTCGCCGCAGCACGGGAAAAGCAATCCGCAGGTGCGCTCTAGCAGCCCAAAGGCATGGCGTACGGAGTGTTCCGCGGCACGCGGGAAGGCAGGGGTCGGAGGGCGGCCGCAGAGAGCGGGCGGAGGAGGAGGGCACTCACCGCACGAAGAGCCTCGGCAGGAGTCGTCGGAGCGGCTGGCCACTGCTGAGCCGCCCCGGCGGCCACTCACACACACGCCCGCGCGCAACCCTTTCAAGAAAGAGGGACCCTAAGAGAACCAGGAGAGGATGTGACCCGAATCTAAACCTACATCGGGCGTGTCCCCCTACAGGGGGATTTTCGAAGAAAAATCAAAAATACCCAAGAAGTACCCCCAAAATTGTCAGAAAATACTCCCAAAATAATCCCCGTACTATCTTTTGACTATTCTTGAATGTTCCCCCTGTGGAGGGACAGGCCCGACTTAAGCATAAGCCGATAGACAGCGGCCCGGCCCTCGGGCACAGCCAGGAAATAACAAAACAAAACAAAAAAAACAAAAAAACAACAAAAAAACAAAAACGAGGTCTCGCCTGGATCCTCGTGAGGCGTCGCTCCGCGGGACCTCCCGGGAGCCCACGAAGTCGGCGACGGCTGCGCGTCTGGCGGCACCCTGCGAGGGCGAGGTCTCGTTTGGGTCCCCATACAGTCGAGGTGCTACCAGAAGGAACGCCAAATAAGAAACAAAGAGGCTTTTCTGGCAACGGTGGCCCGGAGACGGCTAAGCGTCTAGCAGCGCCCACGGGTGGCGAGGTCTCGCTTGGATCCCCGTGGGACGTCACTCCGCTGGACCTCCCAGGAGCTCACAAAAGTGGCGACAATTGCGCAAGTGGAAGCACACACTCGTTTGGATCCACGTACGACGCCAGGTCCACTGGACCTCACAGGCGCTCACGAAGGTGGCGTCCGGTGCGCCTTTAGCAGCGTCCAGGGAGGGCGAGGTCTAGTTTCGAACCCCGTGTGACGTCGCTCCGTTTGACCTCCGCGGAGCTCACGAAAGAAGCGGCGGCTGAGCCTCTGGCAGCATCTGAAGAGGCCTCGCTTTGATCTCCGTAAGACTTCAGTCAGCTGGACCCCCAAGGAGATCACGAACAGTGGCAATGGTCGCTCGTTTGGCAGCACCCAGGGATGGTGAGGTCTCGTTCGGAACCCCTGTGAAACGTCACTCCGTTGAACTTGCTAGGAGCTCACGAAAATGGAGCCAGTTAGGCAATTGGCATCACCCAGAAGTGGCGAGGTCTCGTGTGGATCCCCATGAAATGTCACTCCGCTGGACCTTCACGAAAGTTGCAGTAGTACCACATATCCGGGCACAGAGAGAGAGAGAGGGAGAAGAGAGAGAGAGGTATAAAGAAAGAGGTAGGCAGAGAGAGGAAGAGAGAGAGAGAGAGAAAAACAAAAAAAACAAAACAACAAAAAAAAAAGAGAGAGACAGAAACAAAGCAAGTTTGAGAACGAGAGAGAGAAAATATCAGAGAGAGAGAGAGAGAGAAAAAAAAAATTAAGGATAGGGGGGGAGAGAGAGAGAGAGGGAGGGAAGAGAGAGTGCGAGGGAGAGAGTAAGGCAGAGAGAGGGAGAAGAGAGAGAGAGGGATAAGAATCGCGAGAGAGTGCTTACAATGGAAAGACAGATATAAACTATGAGAAGAGAGAAAGGAACATAATAGATGATAAGAGACGAGGAATCAAGAGAAGAGAAGAGAAGAGAAGAGAAGAGAAAGGAAGAGATGAGAAGATAGGAAGAGAAGAGAAGACAAGGTAATACATGATAATACAAGAGAAACGAAAATAATATACGAGGATAGCAGAGAACAGGGTAGAAGAACAGTGAGTAGAAGATAAGAGAAGAGAAGTGAGGAGAAAAGAAGAGAAGAGAAGAGAAGAGAAGACGAGGATAGCAGACAGGTAAAGAGATGGGAGCATGACATAAGAGGACAGAGTGGAGAGGAAAGGAGAGGAGAAGAGAGGAGAGGAGAGGAGAGGAGAGCGGGAGAGACAGGGGGGGGAGAGGATGATAGAGAGAAAGAGAGAGAAAGAGACACAAAAAAAAAAAAAAACATGTGGACGCGCGCGTGCGAGCGCCGGGCTACAAGCGCACCACGCGCGCTCTGCTCCTCACGGGGCCAGTGGGCACAGGCCGTCCAAGGGCGAATGGGCCCCAGGCGCCCTCGACGCGCGGCGGCCGACGCGGGGGGACGCCCGACGACCAGCTGCGGGCCGCGCCGCGGCAGGCGGCCGCGGGGCAGCGAACAGCTGCGCGGCGAGCCGCGGACGCGGAGGGAAGCCGGCACCCCTTGGCGGTGCCCCCGGCGGGAGGGCGGGGCAGCGAACAGCTGCGCGGCGAGCCGCGTACGCGGAGGGAAGCCGGCACCCCCTGGCGGTGCCCCCGGCGGGGGGGGCGGGGCGACGCTTCGGGAACCCCTCGGCGACTGCCCACCAGACCACCCCAGAAGCCGAAGGCCCGAAGGCCCAGATAGCTTCGCCCGAACTTTTCGGGCTGGGGGCGGGGGGGGGGGGTACACGTCGGTCGGAAGAAGTAGGTAAAGACATGAAGTAGGAAGGCGGATATAGTAGATTGGGTCCAGGTCCTCCCAGAGGACAACAAAACACAGCAAAAACATGTCGACTCTTGAAGTAGGAAGGCGTTTGAAGCAGATTGGGATCTGGGAATCCAAAAATACCTACTTTCAACGACCGGCGTGTACGAGCACCTCATGTGTTTTTCCAAGCGTTCCCCGAGCCCCCCCCCACCCACCAGACCACCCCAGAAGCCGAAGGCCCGAAGGCCCAGATAGCTTCGCCCGAACTTTTCGGGCTGGGGGGGGGGGGGGGGGTACACGTCGGTCGGAAGAAGTAGGTAAAGACATGAAGTAAGAAGGCGGATATAGTAGATTGGGTCCAGGTCCTCCCAGAGGACAACAAAACACAGCAAAAACATGTCGACTCTTGAAGTAGGAAGGCGTTTGAAGCAGATTGGGATCTGGGAATCCAAAAATACCTACTTTCAACGACCGGCGTGTACGAGCACCTCATGTGTTTTTCCAAGCGTTCCCCGAGCCCCCCCCCCCACCCACCAGACCACCCCAGAAGCCGAAGGCCCGAAGGCCCAGATAGCTTCGCCCGAACTTTTCGGGCTGGGGGCGGGGGGGGGGGTACGAGCACCTCATGTGTTTTTCCAAGTGTTCCCCGAGCCCCCCCCCCCCACCCACTGCAAGCGGGGGGCAGATCGGGGCCTTCGGGTCCGGCTGGGGGTGGTCGGGTGGGCGGTGAGGCTCTCCGGGCAGGCGGGCCCCGCCCGATGGGGCGGCAGGGAGCCAAAAGAGGCGCCCCGCGGCGAGCTCGCCAGGCGCGACGCGGGCCGAAGGGACGAGAGAGGAGGAGGAGGAGAAGGAGGAGGAGGAGGAGGAGGAGGCAAAAGAAGCGCAGGCGCTGGGGGAGGAGACGGGCCTCCCCTCGTGCCGGAGGGGCGACGGGACCCAGGCGCCCAGGGAGAGGAGCGAAGAGGCGCCCCGCGGCGAACTCGCCGGGCGCGACGCGGGCCGGAGGGACGAGAGAGCAAGAGAAGCGCAGGCGCTGGGGGAAGAAAGGCCTCCCCTCGTGCTGTAGGCAGAGGGGCTTCGTCACGTGATGCGAAATTCCCCCCTCCCCACTGAATCACACTCCTCTTCCTCCTCTTTCTATCCTCCTCATACTCCTCCGATTCGCAACACGTGATGGGTCCAAGTCGCCGATACTGAAGGGGCGGGACAACCCAGGCACCAAGGCTCAAGCAACCGTGCCAGAAGGCACGGTCGCCCCCAGATTCCTCCGGCACCAGGCCAGCCAGACCCGAAGGCACCGCCACCTGGGAGAGGACGGAGCGCGAGGGGCGCGGGAGCCATGCCACCACCTCAGCACGTCCAGGTTGAGTCGGGCACGCCCCTCTCAGGAGGAATATTCAAAAATAGTCCAAAAATAATCCGGGGACGGTTCTCTAATACTGCTTGACCATATTCTTGATATTTTGGACTCTCTTTTTTTTTTGTCGTCCAAGATCCCCTTGCAGGAGGACATGCCCGACCTAACCTTTCAGGGGGGGTACCCCAACGGCGGGAGGCCGGCACACGGCCAGAGGGGCACGCGCTGGAAGCCGCAGAAGCACTCGAGCGAAGCGGAGGGGAGCAGCAGGGCCGAACCTGCGGAGCAGCGGCGGGCGGCGCTGCGACGCGCAGCGGCGCGCCGCGGCACCGCAGGCAGGGACTGGGGCGCCCCATCCCGCGGCTCAGGCCCTGGTGGCCGGAGCGACGGCGGCCAGCGGCGTTGCCCAGGGCCGGGGCGGGGGCAGCAGTCCGTTGCCCTGGGCTTTTCAAGGACGGCGCCTCGCCAGCAGCTCTCGGCGGTTGGCGGGGTGCGGCAGGTGCACCGACGGCCGCAGCAGCGGGCCCTGCCCGCGGCGCGCGGCGTGGAGCCGTGGCCCCAGGGCGGGGGCGGGGCGTGGCCGCTGCCTCGGCCTCGCTCGTGGGAGCGTCGCGCCGCTGCCACGCCCTGGGGACGACTGTCCCGGCCGTGCGGGGGGCTGCACTCGTCCCCAGCCTCCACCTGAGGAGGTCGTCGACAGCCTCCTCTCTCTGAAGAAGGCGCCGGGACGAGGACAGCATCGGGCGAGGATGAAACCGAGACTCTCCGAAATCTGGCGGATCTGCAGGATGTCTCGGGCGCCGCGGCCCTCTCAGCTCGTTGCGGAACGCTCTGAGCGCGTTCCAGAACGCGCTGGAACGGATTTATCCTCGTCCTAGCCCCGCCCGATCTCTCCTCCTCGTGATGGTAACCCAGGGGCTCGCAGAAACCAAATCCAGGGGCTCGCAGAAACGAATTGGTCGCGCCGAGGATCGCCCGCACGCCCCGCACGTCGGAACCAGCAGCCGAGAACCCCTGGGCGCGCGTGTTGGGGTGATTGAGTATCGTTTTACCGATCCCCATCCCCAGCGGCGTCGCCTGGGCCCCACTGGCCGATTTACCCCCCTAGATGGGGATACAGGTCGTTCCCTTCGGGTTTCGAAGGGTGTATCCCCAACTGGGGAGGTAATTTGGTGGGGGTCTCGAAAGGGATGGGGATGGGGATGGGGGTCGGATAAACGATACTGGGTGACGAGGGCGGACGAGCGAAGGAATGCGGGTGTCCTCCGCGTCGTCCTCGTCCTCGTGGTCGGCGTCGGCCGCGGACCCCCGCGCGCGAGTGGCCCGCGTAGGACGCAGACGGCAGCGGCATCCTCCTCCTCCTCCTCCTCCTCCTCCTCCTCCTCCCCCTCTTCTTCCTCCGCCTCCCACTCTTAATCTCCTCCTCCTCCTCCTCCTCCTCCTCCCCCTCTTTTTCCTCCGCCTCCCACTCTTAATCAAAACGACGGGCTCGCGCTCACGCAAGCCCGTCGTGTCGGGCCGTCGGCGCAGACGGCAGAGGCCTCAGGGAAAGGGGCTGGCTGACCGGCGGGAGCTGCAATGCGGGTCGGGGCGGAGACGACCACTCAGAGCCGTGCGGTCCGCGCGGGGCTCCCGGAGGAGCGCGTGGGCGTGCGCACGGGAACCTTGGAGGTCGGCCCGAAGCTCGTGCAGGAGCACGTCTCGGGGGACGTCTCCTTGTGTGATCCTCCTGGGCGCCAGGGCTCCAGGGGCTGATCCACGCGCGCGTCGCCGCGGATGCCGTCTGGGACTCCACGGGGTGTGTGTGCGCGCCCTCTGACGCGGCGTGGGGCAGCGTGGAGCAGCACAAGGGCCGAGGGATGGGGGAGCGCGGGAAGACGACCGACGAGCGGCACGCGCACGCCGAGGCAGCCGACGAGGGTCGACTCTCCGACGCGCATGGCGAGGAAGCCCCTGCCGAACGCCTCCCGGGCCAGGCCCGGCGAAAAAGCGGCCGCCGAGGCGGCCGCCGCTCTCCGCACGCGCATGCCCACCGAAGCGCTGGCTCGGCGGGCCGGGTCCAGGCCTCCTCCTCCTCCTCCTCCTCCTCCTCCTCCTCCTCCTCCTCCTCCTCCTCCTCCTCCTCCTCCAGGGGGAGCGGCAGCACGCGGGGGGCCGTGGCGCGATCCGGCGGGAGCCGGGAGGAGGGAAGGACGCAGGGCTGAACCTAAAGTGTGTGTGTGTGTGTGTTCGTCTTCGCTTTCGCGTCGCTCTCCCTCGTCCTGTCGTCAGGTCCGCCTCTGCAGCACAAAGGGGCATCGAAGCGGAAGCGGCCCACGAGATCGCCAAAACGCCGTTCAGGTCCACCCCTGCTTCCAACCTCCCCCCCCCCCGAGGCCCCGGAGGCGCTCCATTTCCACGTCCACGCCATCGCGTGCAGATTCCGCGGCTGGAAGGCCGCGGGTCAGCCCTAGTCTCTACTGCAATGCAGGGGCCCGCGCGCGTGGGAAAGGCGGGCGACGGGGAAGGCGGGCGACAGGGAAGGTCCAGCCCTGGAAAAGGGAAACAACAAGTGGCATAAACATAAAAACTTGGAGGTCCGCGCGGATTTCTCGGATCCGCGCTGAACCCCCTCCCTGCCGCGCCAGGGGCGGCGCCGGAGGCGCCGCCGGGGGGGCCCCAGTGCCGATCCGAGAAATCCGCGCGGACCTCCGAGTTTTTCTGTTTATGTCACTTTTTGTTCCCCTATGGTCCTCGAGCCTCGAGCCGCCGTCGAACCTCGCACCTCCCCTGTTTTTTTGCCTCCACCGGGCCACCGCCCCGGTGCCCGCCCCGAGCTCCAGGGCGGCGGCGCCCTGGAGGAGCGACGAGATCGCCAAAACGCCGGTGAGGCCCAGCCCCGGAAGAGCGCGGGTGCGGGTGCGGTGCTGCGCGGGCGCGGATGCGGCCTGCCTGGGGGGGAGCCGAGGCGGGGCCTCGAGGGGGGAGGCTGCACCTGCAGCCTGCGCGCGCGCTCGGGGGCGGGGTCCTGTGAGCAGCAACGGCGACGGGGAGGGGCAGGCAGGCAGACCGACAGGCAGGCAGGCAAGGACAGACAGACAGACAGACAGACAGACAGACAGACAGAACGAGAGTGAAGGAGAGAGAGAGAGAGACATAAAACAAAGAGAGAGAGGATGGAGAGAGGGAGGGAGGGAGGGAGGCGGTGGGCATTTAGCCGACACAGGAGGATTGCAGAGTGAAGGCCGAAAGCGGTGGGTTGGGGCATTTTCCCCACCCTGGCATTGAGACCTTAGCGCTGTCTGGAGCGACCGCGGAGGCTCAGCGGATGCAAAATGCTTCGCATTATGTTCCGTCGGCCAAGGAAGTGGCCGAATCTCTGATACTGCGAATCTGCGCATCATCCGCACAGTCAGACGCCCCGCCTCACCTGAGCCCCAGCTCCCACTGCCTCCTCTCACTTGAGAGGTACATTCGAGACGCTAGAGAAACCTAGAGCACACAACTTGGTACACCGAAAAAGAATGGTATTGCTGCATTGCTGCGGTATTGCAAGCGACTGGCATTCTGTAAAATAATGCCCACGCATACAATCGTTACTACACCTCCCTTTGGATGTGGAGAACTCTCTATGTCAAAAAAATCGTAGAGAAAGATGGCGAGCTCAGGCTCTGCCATTTGCGGAAATCGGGAGCGCAGCTCCACGTTAGCAACGGCGGGCATCATCGGATCGAGGGGCCTCTCACGGGAACCCATTGCATAAAAGGAGGCTGTGGGCTGGTGTGTATGTGTGTATGTGTGGCTATGTGTACATGTGTACGTGATTATGTGTATGTGTATGTGTATGTGTATGTTTACGTGTACAAGTATGCGAATATGGGCGTACGTGTGCATGTGTGTATGAGTGTACGTGTATGTGTATATGTGTGTATGTGTGTACGTGTACATGTGTGTATGTGTATGTGCGTGTATGCGTGTGTATGTGTGGTTGTGTGTATGTGTGAGGGTGTATGTGTGTATGTGCGTATGTGTGTATGCGTGTAGGTGTGTATGTGTGCATGTGTATGTGTTTATGTTCGCATGTGTATGTGTGTAGGTGTATGTGTGTATGTGTGTATGTGTATGTGTACGTGTGTGTATGTGTATGTGTGTGTTTGCGCGTGGTTTAGTGTGTGTGGTTGGTCGTGTGTGTGTTGTTGGTTGTGTGTATGGTTGGTTGCGTTTGTGGTTAGTTGTGTGTGGTTGGTTGTATGTGTGGTTGGTTGTGTGTGGTTCGTGGTGGGAGTGGTTGGTTGTGTGTGGTTGGTCGTGCGTGTGGTTGGTTGTGTGTGTGGTTGGTTGTGTGAGGTTGGCTGTGAATGTGGTTGATTGTATGTTAGGTTGGTTGTGTGTGGTGAGTGGTGGGAGTGGTTGGTTGTGTGTGGTTGGTTGTGTGTGGTCGGTTGTGTGTGTGTGGTTGGATGTGTGTGTGGTTGGTTGTGTGTGTGGCTCGTTGTACGTGGTTGGTTGTGTGTACGGTTGGTTGTGTGTGTGGTTTGTTGTGTGAGTGTGGTTGGTTGAGTGTGTGATTGGCCGTGTGTGGTTGGTTGTGTGCGTGGTTGGTTGTGTGTGTGGTTGGTGCTGTGTGGTTGGCCATGCGTGGTTGGTTGTGCGTGTGGTTCGTTGTGTGTGGTTGGTTGTTTGTGGTTGGTTTTGTCTGGTTGGTGGTGGGAGTGGTTGGTGGTGTGTGTGGTTGGTTGGGTGTGGTTGTGTGTGTGGTTGTGTGTGATTGTGTGTGGTTGTGTGTGGTTGTGTGTGATTGTGTGTGGTTGTGTGTGGTTGTGTGTGGTTATGTGTTGTTGTGGGTGTGCGTGTGTGGTTGTGTGTGGTTGTGTGTGTGTGGTTGAGTGTGGTTTACGGGCGCAGCCCATAAATTTTCTGGAAGTAAGGTAACTGACTGACTGACTGGCTGACTGAACTGACAACTGAATCACCAAAGCCATTAGTCGGCAGTTTCATCACCAGGGTATGAGGATATTTCGCAAGCAAGTTCAGGCCAGGAGGTGAGGATATTTAGCTGGCAGTTGTAGGCCAGGGGCGGTGAGGATATTTCGCTGGCAGCTTCAAGCGAGAGGTGTGGATATCCCGCTTGCAGTTTAAGTCCAGGGGCGTTGCGGGGATTTCGTCGCTGGCAGTTTCTAAAGCCGGGGTGTGAGACAATTTCGCGGGCAGTTTTAGGCCAGGGGTTGAGGATATTTAGCTGGCAGTTTTAGGCCAGGGGCTGTGAGGGCATTTCGCTGCCAGTTTCAAGCGATGGGGCGTGAGGATATTTCGCTGGCAGTTTGAAGTCAGATGGTGAGGGTTTTTCGGTGGCAGCTCTAGCCAGGGGGTGGGTTTTTTTTGCTGGCAGTTCTCAGGGAGGGGTGTGATGAGATTTCCCACGCCAGGGGGTTGAGGATATTTCGACGGCAGTTTAAAGCCAGGGGGTTGAGCATATTGCGCTGGCTGTTTTTTGAGTCCAGGGGTGAAGATACCTAGATGGCAGCTTTAGGTCAGGGGCGGTGAGAATATTCCGCTGGCAGACTCAAGCGATGGGGCGTGGGGATATTACGCTGGCAGTTTCAAGCGAAGGGTGTGAGGATATTGCGCTTGTAGTTCTAAGCGAGGGGTGTCAGGACATTTCGTTGGCAGTTTGGGCCAGGGGGTGGAGGATATGTTGCTTGCAGTTAAAAGGGATGAGTGTGAAGATATTTCGCAAGTCAGAGGATTGAGGATCTGTCGCTGGCAAGTTAAGCGAGGGGCGTGAGGATATGTCGCTGGCACTTTGAACTCCAGGGGATGAGGATACTTAGCTGGCCGTTTTAAGCCAGGGGCGTTGAGGATATTTCGCCGGCAGTTTCAAGCGATGGAGGGCGAGGCTATTTCGCCGGCAGCTTCAAGCGAGAAGTGCCAGAAAGGATATTTCGTTGTCAGTTTTAGGCCGTGGGATGAGGATATTCCGCTGAGTTGTGCGAGGATATTTCGCTGGTAATGTTACGCCAGGGCGGTGAGGATATTTCGCCGGCAGTTTTGGGCCTGGGGGTGGGGATATTTTGCTAGCACAGTTGAAAGGGAGGGGCATGATGATATTCCACACGTCATAGGATTGAGGATATGCCTCTGGCCTTTTCGAACGGGGGGCGTTGGGACATTTCGCTGGCTGTTTTAACTCCAGGCGGCGGGGATATTTAGCTGGCAGTTTTAAGCCAGGGGGCGTTGAGGATATTCCGCCGACAGTTTCAAGCGACGGGGCGCGAGGATATGTCGCCGGCAGTTTTAAGCGAGGGGTGCGAAGATATTTCGCTGGCAATTTCAAAGCCGGGCGGCGCTGATATTTCCCAGACGCCACCAGGCAGCACCTTGTGCCGCGCACGAGGCGACGGGAGGGGTGGGCGAGAGGGAAGACGGAGGACAAGGACGAAGAGGAGGCGGCAAAAGGGGGGGGGTCGGAAGTAGGGCCTGGGAGGAGTCGTGGTCGGCGCGGTCGGCGCGGGCATCCAAGCGCCACGCGATGAAATGCTAGGTCTTGGCCTGCTTGGCCCAGCCGAAGGCTGCGCGTGCAGCGCGGTGCTGCGCGCGCATATATGCTCGCCCCTTGACGTGGGGCTGGCGGGGGGCCAAGGGGCGAGAAGGCCAGTGTTTTGTGTGTGTGTGCGTCGTTGTGTGTGTGGTTGTGTGCGTGGTTGTGTGTGGTGCGTGGGTGTGCGCGTGGTTGTGCGTGTGCACTTGTTTGTGAGGTTGCGTGTGTGGTTGTGTGGGGGGCAATGCGTGTCTGTGGTTGTGTGTGGCTGTGTCTGTGATTGTGTGTGGTTGTGTGTGTATGGTTGTGTGCGTGGTTGTGTTTAGTCGTGTGCGCGATGGTGTGCGTGGCTGAGTGTGGTTGTGTCTGTGCGTGGTTGTACGCGTGTTGTGTCTGTGGTTGTGCGCGTGGTTGTGCGTGCTTCTGCGTGCACGGTTGCGCATGTGGTTGCGCGCGTGGTTGCGCGTGGTTGTGTGCGTGGTTGCGTGCGTGGTTGTGTGTAATTGCGTGCGTGCTTGTGAATGTGCGGTTGCGTGTGAAGTTGTGCGCGTGGTTGCGTGCGTGGTTGCGTGTATGATTGTGTTGTGTAGTTGTGTGTGCGCGGCTGTGCGCGTGGTTGCGCGCTTGGTTGTGCACGAGGTTGTGCATGTGCGGTTGTGTGCATGCTTGTGTGCGTGGTTGTGTGTGGTTGTGCGTGTGGTTGTGCGCGTGGTTGCGTGCTTGGTTGTGTGTGTTGCATGTGGTTGTGCGCGGTTGTGCGCGGTTGCGTGCGCGGTTGTCTGCGCGCGCGATGGACGGGCGGGCGTGCGGACGGGCGTGTATGCGCGCGTTACTGCGTGCGTTTTTGTATGTGTGTGCGTTGGTGTGTGTACGTTGGTGTGAGTGCGTTGTTGTTTGTGTTGGTGCGTGTGGGCGGGCGGATGGGTGGGCGGGCGGGCGCGCGCGCGCGTGCCTGTGTCTGTCGGTCTGTCTGTCTGTCTGTCTGTCTGTCTGCCTGCGCGTTCTGCATGGTCTGTGTGTTCTGCGTGTTCTGTGTGTTTGATGTGTTATGTCTTATGTGTTCTGTGTGTTCTGTGTGTTCTGTGCGTTCTGTGTGTTCGGCGCGCTATGCGTGTTCCGCGCGGTCTGTGCGCTCTGTGTGTTCTGCGTGTTCTCTGTGTGTTCTGCGTGTTCTGCGTGTTCTGTCTGTTCTCTGCGTTCTGTCTGGTCTGTGGGTTCTGCGTGGTCCATGTGTCCTGTGTGTCCTGTGTGTTCTGTGTGTTACGTGTGCTCTGTGTTCTATGCGTGGTCCGCGTGTACTGCGCGTTCTCTGCGCGTGCTGTGTTCTGTGTGTTATGTGTGTTTTGTGTGTTCTGCGTGTTATGTGTGTTCTGTGTGTCATATGTGTGTGTGTGCTGTGTTATGTGTGTTATGCGTGCTCTGTCTGTTCTGTGTTCTGTGCGTGTTCTGTGCGTCCTGTGCGTGTCCTGCGTGTTCTGCGCGTGTCCTGCGTGATACGTGTCCTGTGTATGATGCGAGGTCCCTGTGTTCTCTGCGTGTTCTGCGTGTCCTGTGTGTTATGTGTGCTCTGTGTGTCTTCTGCGCGTGTTATGTGCGTGTTCTGCGCGTGTGCTGCGTGCACCCTGCGCGCCCTACACGCGGTCGCTGAAGAAATCTTCCAGAAGAAACCCAACCCTGCGACCTCAGGACGGCCACTGATGTCTGGTGGGAACGTCACGCTTTCCATGGCAGAGCCATCGAAGCCCAAGGAACACAGGGCACCCTGGAGGCAAGCAGGGTGCTCCTTGGCATGGGCCTCAGCAATAGATCGTCAACTCCGGCTTGGGCTTCTGCGTGGCACACGCTGCGGCCCCCGATGGGCCGTAGCGCTTCGTGGAGGGCCGTGGGTGGGGTGGCGTCGTCTGTCTCCTGGCCGGCCGCGGGGGCTACGGTCGGGAACTTTGCGGGGCGTGCCGCCGCGGCGGCCCTGGCGACACGGGCGGGTGGCGTGTCGCTCTCCGCAACCGCGGGGCGGGGGGCTCGAGAAAGCTCGAGAGGCGGACGCCTCGGGGCCGCGAATCGGGCAGCGTGTCGCACCGAGGCGCGGAAGCCCGCACTGGCGGAGAGAAACGCTGTCCAAAAGCTCCCGACCGTGCTGCTCTCACGGCCACTGACGGCCCGTCGTGCTCTGCTTCCCGCCAGGGGGCGGCCCCGCAGGGTCCTGGGGACAGAAAGCCATCCCACAATCCTGGCCGAGGGCCCATCCAAGGGCAAAGCACTGAAACTCCATCGAGCTTGCACTTGTGAACCCAACTGCGCCGCCATACCTTCAGCACGCAGCGCGCGACAAGGCTCATGCAGCTCCGTAGGCTAGATAGAAGCTTTGTGAGCATCTGAAGGGCCCAGACCAGGAAATGTCCAGAAGAGCTGGGCGCTCCTCCCCGTGGAGGGCGAGGCCCCTTCGGGCTGTCGCGCTGTGTGCGGCAGCCTGGCTGGGTACAGTCAACCCGTATACCCGTCGGTCGGCAGAAGCAGGCAGAACCAGGAAGCAGGAAGGCGTTGGAAGTAGTTTGGGCTTCCGCCCGACGTCTGAGGAGGAAGGGAAAGGAAAAACACCCAATGGTCGAAGTAAGAGGTCACCCAAAGTACATCGGGATCTGGGGATCCGAAACACCTACCTGTCGACGACTGGCGTGCAACGCTCTGCCCTGGGGGCCCTGAACGGGCCCTGAGACCACAGGGACTCCGCTGCACGCCGCCAGCTTTCCCGGCGGCTCGGAGCGCCAGAGGCGGCCGTGTGTCGAAGGCAGCGGAGGCAACGCAGATGCATGCGCCACCCGGCAGCCTGCACGCGGCGTGCCGCGCTGGCGGCCCGCGCGAGACGCGGCGTGAGGCCGCCGTGCCATTTTGCGCAAGACCCTCGGCGGCGAGCGAGGGAGGGACTTGAGCAGGAGAAGGCCCTCTCAGAGGGCGGCGGGGCTTCTCAGAGGCCCTCCAGCCTTCCGAGGAGTCTCCTGCGCCACCCAGCAGCCCGGGGCCAGCAGAAAGCCTCCCTGCGCGCTGGCGCGGCCTCACAGCTCGAGCTCGCCCCGCCTGGCCCTCCGCCGCCTCTCCCGCCTCACCTGCGGGAGGCCAACCGCGAAGGGGCCCCAGGACACACCCAGAAATGCGCACAAAATTGAAAGATTCCCCATATTTCTCCATGTTTCCTCTGTTTTTGTGTCTTCCCCCCCCCACTTCCCATATTTTCCCATACGGCAGGTTCGTGTCGTGCCGACCCCAGCGTTGGTTTTTGACACCGCAGGGATCGTTCAACCTTGAACGATCGGCCGCTGCCGCAACGTCCGATCGTTCAACATCGATCGATTCTGGGTCGCCGGCGGCGTTCAACCTTGAACGCCCGCGCTGGGGGTCGCCGCTGGTCGACACGACGCAAACCTACCGTACTTTCCTGGGGCTCGACGATTGATCGTGGCTGTGTGCTTGTCCCTCCTGAAACCAGACGCGGCTGGAGCCGAGGGGGCCGGAGGGCCGCGCCACAGCGCCGATGCACGGGCGACGCCGGGACGGAAGAAGCTGGGCCCCGGGTGGGGGGCTGCGTCGGCGGGGCGTCGGAGGCGCGGCACGGCGGTGGGGCATCGGATATGGGAGCCCTCCTCCTCCTCCTCCTCCTCCTCCTCCTCCTCCTCCTCCTCCTCCTCCTCCTCCTCCTCCTCCTCCTCCCTTGCTTATCCTTTTCCTCCTCCTCCTCCTCCTCCTCCGCCTCCTCCTCCAACGAATCCGGAGTCTGGAAGCCGTGGGGATGCCAATCGTGGAGCGGCCATGGACATCACCGCCGCCCTCATCGGGCAAGGAATCTCCCGATTCTGAAGCCTCCTGAGCACACCCCTCAACTGACATCCTTCCTGTATCCTCCGACCCCATCTGCTCTGGCGCCACTTGTCGGGGAGACGTAAGACTCGAATTTCAAGGACTCGAGTTGGTCTGATAAGGCCGTCAGAGAAACAACGAGGCCAATTCGAAATTTGACAACAACTCCCGCTGCAAACATCCCACGAAAACTGGGCCGTCAAGATAAATAGTCAAAAACCGTCGGCAAGCCCGAGTTCGGGCGAACCCGAAGTATACGCCGTTCCAAACCTGGGAGGCCTGGAGAAAGAGGGAGAAGGAGAAACAACGTTACGCATGGAGTCAGTTTGATCTCGAACACTCCGCACCCCACACAGCAAGGAATGAGAGCGGGCGGAAACCCCTTAAAGAATAGCATCGCACATGTAGAAGCGCAGGACGGGGAAGAAAACGTGGGGGAGGGCCGCGATGACAAACACGGCTCTGTGGAATCAACGAAATGGCGGAGAGAGACATGTTACACCAACACCCAAGACAGTAGTAAAGGGGGCGGTCGGTTGGTGGTTCAGGAGGCACGTCACGGTGGCTGAGCGACTCGAGAACTTGCATATACTCCAACAAATCAGCCTCAGCAGCGATCTCTTCGAACCTGGCGCGGCTGGATGGCAGGCCGTCGATCTCGCGGCCTTGGGGGTGAATGAATGAACAACCCTGCCTGCTGTTGCATGCCCTGCCCAACCAGCACATCGCCCCCCGTCGCCCGACGAAGGCGGCGGGCTTCCACGCGCCCTGGTGAGCGCGAGGGCGCAGAACGCGCCGAGCCCGAGGCTCGACCACCCGTCGCGCCGCCAGGGGGTTGCCCACCCGCCTCCACGGTCCAAGGGCGATCGGGAAACGTGCTGACCTCCGCGCGCAAGGAGCTGGTCAACTCCTGGACAGTTGCGAGCCGCTCACACAAGCACCCGTTAATGTTCTCAACGTCATGTCCCAGGCGCTTCTTACCACGTGGCAGCAGCTCCATCATCTTCACCATGCGCTCTTCCGCAACAAGCATCATGCGCTTCGAAAGACTCGGGCGACCGACTCCGCAACGTTCGACGCAACAGCCTGGACTATCTCGCGGACCGCGCCAGACAGCTTAAGCACGAGCTCTGACATAGCAGAAGAAACAGAATATGGAATCTTGGAGCAAATATCACCAGACAATTCGTCAAAACGCCGGTGAATGGCATCCGCCCCGGAATGCCGACGGCCCGCATCACCTCGAGCAGGCCCCACGCTAGCCGCCTCCGGCGACACACCCAACCGCGAGGAGGAGGAGGAACCCGAAGAAGGCAAAGAACGAGGCGAATCTCCAAATTCATCCAGATCACCCCGACGCTTGCCAATCGCTTGTCTTTAAATCGCAGGAAGACCAGAGCACGCAGCCAGCTCGGAATCGTAACTAAATTGCGCTTTATGCAGCGCATCAGGCACACACAACAGACTGGCACTCCGCCGCATGGATAGCTGGGGTCTGCCTCGGACTGGACGAAGGTGCGTCCTTGCGAAATCCATTGCATGAGTGCGAGGGCTGTCGGCGCCTGCGACCCCCCGCAAATCGATGGGCGACAACGCAGGGGCCGACGCACCGTTCAGGGAAAGCCGCCGCCAGCAGAGCCTCCAAATCGGAGGGCAATGGTTCCGCCCCAGTGTCCGTGACATGACGAAGAATCTGAAACGCATTGTCAAGCTGCCAGAGACGCCTGCTGGTCTGGGATGGAAGAAACCATCGCTGCGAATGCACGGGGACGTTCGAACCACTGAGATGTTTCTTAGAATACGCGGATATCTACCTCGGCGATTTGCCCGCCAATACAGGAATACAACCATTGACATCAAAAGTGGAAGCCATCCGCTCGAGAAGAGGGAAAGCAGGGTGGCAAACAAAGCTAGCCGTCCTGCGCCGCAATGGCCACGGATGAAGAAGGGGAAGGAGGAAGAGGAGGAGGAGGATCACATCACATCAGAACAGACATCTACGGGGCTGAGCTTCAAATCTCGACTGAATGAGACGCCACAGGACCGACTTAACGGCCGTAAATTTCGGGCCACCCGCCCGCCCTGACTTGCCTGGGCATCGAGGCCCCAAACAAACCACTGCAAAAATCGCACCCATGGAATCCTGACAAGCGGACAGCGGACCTAGTTACGCGTTCCCCGAAACGAGAAAACATGAAACTCCCCATTGCGTAAATCCTGGCACGCTGAACAGACGGAGCAGGGAAAGGAGGAAAGGACGACGACACCACGGGAGGGGCACGACAGGGGCGGGAAGGGATTGGAGCCTCCTCCAGACAGGCAGAGGCAGCACGGGCCTCAGGAGACCCCGAAGCGGGACACGCAGAGCGGGGGCGAAGCCGCGGCGCGTCTCGAGGAAGCGGAAATAATTTCACTTGATGTGGCGATTGCGCCACTCAAGGATACAATGTCACGTTGAGAAATTGTAAGTATGGCGCCCGTTGTTCGCGCCCTCACGCTGTCCGACAACATCGCATCACAGCCACTGCCAGACACCTGTTCACTCACACCATTGAATCCGCCATCTCGTCGCCCATCATGAACATCTGCAGCGCTCTCTCCAAGCGGCCCATAGGCGCCGCACCCCCCACCATCGCGGCCCCCACCTACTCGCGGCAAGCAGCGAACGCGTCGGGCGACTCCCGCCGCGGCATCAACACCGCGCACACGCTCTCATTGAAACCTGCTTGAATTTTGACTAGCGGGAAGGGCGACGCCACCTCGGCCGAGGTCAATATCGCCATCTCCGCCTTCCACTCTGCATTCATCGCACCCGCATTTAGCCGCGCCCACTCGCGCCCTTGCGCCAACCCCACTAGACGCGCTACCGATGTCGCACCCACTTTGGGGATTTCGCAGCCTTCGCCCCAAGCCCCCCAGTCCCGCGCCGCCTCCGCCCGCGATTTCACCGCGGCCCTGGCCTTAAGGGCGGAGGGGGAGTTGTCGGGCATCAGGGGCGCCTAACAGAGCAAAGGCCTCTTGCTGTCTCACGCGCCTCGCCGCGTCAATCGCCATCTCCACTAGTGCGATCACGATGTTTTGCGCCTGCGCCAGCTCCATCTCCTCCAGGTCCTCGGCCATATTCGGGCCCGCGGTGCGGTTGCTATGCTTCTTCTGCGTCGCCGTCTCGGCCCGACCGCCATCGCCCCCCCGCCCGTCGCGTCGCGCGCGGGGCCTCTCGCCCACGGGCGCGGCAGGAGGGGTCGCCGCAGACGCGCCGGGCAAGCGCTGGAAGTGGAACAAGAAGGCGAGACCGCAAGTGAAGTTGCAGAGCTTCGAAGGTCTGAACAGGCTGCGAAAATTCGGGGCACGCGCGCGCATCGGGAACTTGAGGACTGGACTTAGACGAATCTACCCAAATCCTCGCAAACGCACACGCATGCTCACGACGCGGGATATCCGCACCCCTGACCTCGAGCGTCGATGAGCACGCAATTCATTGATTCGCGGGGGCAAGCGCGGACGCAATGAAGGCGCATCACGTTCGCCATCCGCGGCAGCCCGCGGCGCATCAGCAATGCCTCGCGGGAAGCGCACCCTCGATCCCAAACGCAACCACACGCAGTCAACAAACACAGCACAGCAGCAAACAGCATCAGAAAGTCCCTCCGGCTTGAGTGGGCCATCCCAAGCGGCACCTTGTCTCAGGGGCCACTCAGCACGAAAGTGTTGCACGTCAAACTTATCGCAAACATCAGAAGCCCCGTTGCCCCCGCTAAGCACCGCCATGAGATCACCTTTTCGCAAGTTCCAATGCCCCCCCTTTCTTCTGCGCGCCCCATATATTCCAGGTCCTGGAAGAATTGCTCGGCCCCGGGGTCGCCCCTCGAAGCGCCCCTGGGCGTAGTCTGACAGCGAGGGCACTAAGTAAACGCAGACCCCACTCCGTTCTCTATTTCCAAGGCCCCCTGACACAGCCGCGAGTCGTTCAGCGCGCCGCCCCGGCGATCGAGCGCACGTTTCGTCGCCCCTGCAAACGTTGCACTCTGGGCTCCAGCCGAAATGGCGCATGTCCAGCACGTCGCCACATTTCGACTGCAGGTAGAAACCAGATCACGATAATCTCCGCGCCACCAGGGCGCACCACTGGCACTCCGACAGCCACTCCCCAAAAAAGAACCCCCTCAGGCACTTGAAGCAAGCGGCCTCGAGACGAGCAGTTCGGCACTCGAACCAGATCGAGGCCGCGAACCCTGGGGGGGCCGCGCCAGGA